GGCCAGACCCCCCCGCCAGCCGGGAGGGAGGGAGTGGAAGGGACCGAGCGAGGCAAAGTAGGGAGGCGAGAACCAGACGCCTTTAAAGGGATCGGCCCGCGCCTTTGGTGCCCCTTGCGAGCGCGCCGGACGGTCGCCCAGTGCTGCTGCCACCATGCGCTCAAGGAGGTCCTTCCCGGGGAGGCTCTGCAGGCGGCACGCACACTCTCAGAGACACACACGCTACCTCGCAGCGCCCCTCCTGCCCAAGCCCCAGGAGAGTTGGGAGGTGGGAGTCTAAGTAGATAAATTAAGGGGAGACTGTAAGTGGTGAAAAGATTCCATCTCCCCCACTTAGAGTGTGACAAAGCCTCACTTAAAGAGCCACGTTCTTGGGGTGAGGGGTGTTACCTGGGGAGCTCAGTTGCTCCCTCTACCTGTGACAGGCCCCCTCCCCTCCGGGTCCCGGCTCGGCAGACGCCCAGCAATTTAAAGCGACAGCTCATAGTTTTTGCGTGACCTAATCTCCAATGCCTGCAGCCCCAGAGCACTTACTATCGAGGGGGCAATTTAAAGGGGTGGACCCTAAGCTCACCACCAACAACACCCGCTGCCGCAGCTCTGGGAACACCCAAAGCATGTAGTTAAAGAAACAGTAGTAGCTCTTAAAAAAATTTTTTTTAAATTTCTGGTGGCCCCAGGGCGTGGTGAATCTTTCAATGCCCTGCAACAGGAGTGTGGGTGCCATGCCCCCTGGATGACCCATCAGGCTTCCTCTGCAACATCCTTCTACTTCCAAGTCCTGCTGTTTCCTACCTGCAGCTTGAGGAAATGATCGAATCTGGCTTAGATATCAAAGAACCTAGCAGAACAGAAGGGCACTCAGTTCTTCACACAGTCTGATTTCTATCTGGCTGGGTCTGACCTACCAGACAAAGACTCAATTCTGGGTTAGTGCTGGAGACACCAATATGTACACAGGCAGCACGTCATGGTGGTTAGATAGATCAACGTTGCCGGCCAGCTGCCTTGGTTCAAATCCTTCCTCCATCCTTCATTCACTGTGAACATAGGCCTGCTATTTAACTCTCCTCTACCTCATGATCCCCGTGGATAAAACAGAAATGTGATAATAGTACCTAACTCATAAGTGTGGTGTGAGGATGAAACTAGCTTATGGAAGTAGATTGCTTGGTACAGAGGTTCATGCTGCATTATGGTAACTCAGTCTACAAAGACCCTTTAGGCCCCGGGAGCCCATGCAAGCCCCGCAGCAAATTAAAATCGGAGGCTTATCTTGTGTGTCCCATGACAGGTTCCAATTTTCCCTGGCCTCAATTTCCCACTCCTCTGGCTCCTCCCTCAGGAAACCCGATTTACAGTGTCCCACTCCGTCCACAAGTGTAGCTTCCCCATTGGACCTGGGAGGAAAGGGCCCCCAACATCAGAAAATGTCATTGCTCCCTGCAAGGCAGGGCTAGCTTGCCCAAAAGTCTTCAGAGTAGACAGAGAGAGCCCATCTGCCCCGTCCCCAAGGACTTGGAGGAGAGCGGAGCCTAGTGTCAAGCTAGAGGCGGTGGCAGTAGCAGGATGGGAAAGTGCCCCCCCAAGTGGGGAACCTCCCCCCACTTGTGGCCTCTATTTTTAGTGCTTCCCTAGGCTCTAGCTGGAGAAACCGTTTAGTCATCAGGGTGTTTATTTTCCGGCTGTTTCCGACGTCGGGAAAGCAGAATGTTGAGACTGGAGAGATCCAAGGCTGCTGGAAAAGCCTTCGGAAGAACAGGCCTGGGAACTCAGCCTTCAGGCCATTGGGTCCCAGATCTTAGAAAGAAAAAAATGTGGGCAGGGGCCAGCCAAGACCCCAGGAGACCAAGAGAGCTGGGTTCTCAGTCTGCCTCCAGTCTTGACGCTTTCCAAGCCAGAGAACCCTCCGGCATGAGCCCTACTTGAAGGATTCTCTCCAAAAACATATACAGCCCCAGAAAAAATTCTTTCCCAGGACTGGTTCCCAGAAACCCCCTCCCCAACCTCCTACACATCGGTGTGGTGAGCCTCCCGCCAACCACAGCTCCAGCCAATCTCCAGCCTGAGGCAGGCTTGCCAGGGCTATGATTGGCTGGCTGGTCCACCCAGTCTTGGAATGTTGGGTCCTTAACAAAGGAATGAGGAAGGAAGGTGAGTCACCTGGGGAGGGTGTTAAAGGGCCAGGAGCAGGGAAGAGAAGAAAGGGGAGGGAAGGGCTCAGTAGGTGTCCCTGACCCTGAGATGCTGCCCTGAAAATTTCCTAGAGACAGAGTACGAGAGACTGACAAGTGAGACAGAAGTAGAATAGAGTGGAAACTTCATGGGAGAAGGAAAATGACAAAGTGGGAACTTTTATTTCTGTGGGACCAGCAGATGGTGTAATAGTTACATCACTGGACTCCCACAAGGTCGACTGCGGTTCGAGTCCCGGACCCGGCAGCTTAAAAACACATGCTGTCCCGTGTGCATATGGGCTGAAAGTCCTGAGAGAAGGATGGAGGAGGATGCAGGGTGACCATCCCCCCTGGGGGGTAATTTCTCGCTTTCTGTCTTTCAAGCGAGCACACCTGTCTGATAGCAAAAAACTCTCTTAACAAAAAGGTCTAGGGGGACCAGCAGTTAGCATAATGGCTATGTCACTGGACTTCCGCGTAGTAGACCGCGGTTCGAGCCCCGGACCTGGTGGCTTAAACTCACGCCGGGTGCGTGTGCGTGCGTGCCCAAGATCCCAAGAGGAGAATGGAGGAGAAGGGATTGCGGCGTGGCCGTCCCTCCTGGGGGGTGATTTCTCGCTTTCTGTCTCTCTGTCTCTGTCTGTCTGGCGAGCGCACGTGCCCTGTAGCAAAAACCTCTCCAAAAAAAGGTCTAGGGAGTAATATTGATGGAAGTTAGATAGAAACAAGGACTTCCTGAAAGCCACTGAATATTTATTTATTTTTTTTAACTTGTGATTTATCAAGCTGCCCATCCTGGATTCAAATCACAGTCTGCCATGTGGGAATCCTGCATTTTAACCACCACGCCACCCACTGGCTCCAACTAAATCTTTTTCTGTTGGCCCCTGGACTTCTCACCTCAGAATCCTGTAAGTGGAAAACACCTGAGTGGGCTCAGATGCCTGGGTCTCATTTTTCTGGTTAGCTTCCCATCTTTATTAACTCACCTAACAATCCAAAGCAGCTATAAAATTCCTAAAAAGTCATTTAGATGCCCAATAAAATCCTAAAAAGCATGTATAAACTCCTTCCACAGTATTACCTTATAAGCTTATATGGCAAAAGGCTTTCAGAACTCTTTCTGAATTGGCCTTTTTATTTAATTTCGTTTGCTACAGGGTGCATGCCAGAGAGGGGCAGGCGGGAAGGGAGGGGGAAAAGTGAGAAAACGCCCGGGGGGGGGGGGAGGGGGAAAAGTGAGAAAACGCTTGGGGGGGGGGCGCTGCCACAATTTCTTCTCCTCCATTCTCCTCTTGGGATTTTGGGCATGCACGCACACACCCCCTGCACGATTTTCAAGGTACCAGGTCCAGGACTCAAACCACATAGTCAAGTGGGATCCAGTTCCTTAACCACCACACCATCCACACCCTGGGCTGACCAGACAATTCCTTTTATTTATCCCTTCACAAGCATCCCTAATCCAGCTCAGTTTGAAGGTGGTTTCCCAATCCTCACTGCCTCCCCTGCCTCCAAGAGCTGACAGTGGTTCCCTAACTCTGGGAAGTCCTTACTGCCGGTCCAGCCTCTCACCTGGCCGGCTGGCTGCTGGTTAGCCCCCTCTGTCTTCCCCACAGTCATCCAGACAATCTCTAACCCCTGCTTTCCTCCTCATGCCTTCCATCAAGATGACCATCCTCTCTCCATCTCTGTCCAGTTCTTCAGTGTTCCCGGCCAGCACTCAGTCTGCCCCACATCTGTTACTTTGAGAGGGGAAGGGTCACCAGCAGGTGCATGGTAGTTCTGTGGGTACATTCTCTGGGTGGACTTGCGGATCACCCATGTCTGCCTGCACAGTGCCCCCTCCCCTGGGTGTATTCCTCGGTACACACCATATTGTACTAACACTTTTGGTTTCCAATTTACATTTTCTCATCAGACCCTGAGCTCCTTGAGGGCAGCCATCTCAAGCCATCTCAACCGTGGTTGGCAGGGCTTTGCAGGGCTGGGTGTGGAATGCTGTCAGCAAACATGTGACAGGAGTCTGTGGGTGTGTGTAGCTGTGGGTCTGAGTAAAGTTTGTACAAACTTCCCTGAACATCTCTTCTTGACCATTGATGACGGTCCCTAGCCCAGGGATGGGGCTCTGGTCACAAGTCCCATTTTCAGCCAGGGCTGGGTGGGGGAGGGCAGAGTCAGGCAGAGGTGCCCAAGGCTGTCAGGGCAGAACTGTGCCCCAAGCTCAGTGCCAGGGCGCCTGGGGCCAGGCCTGGGGCAAAGGGCAGAGGCCCCACCCTGGGACTGAAGGGGGCAGGGAGGGGGTGCCAAAGCCGGGTCCTCGGTCAGTGCATCCCCCCACACAAGCTCCCTGCTCCCGGCTGGGCAGGATGTGGTGGCAGCTGCAGGAGGGTGGGCAGGATGTGGGGGTGGGGGCAGCTGAAACAGCCTGACAGTCGTCTCCCAGCTCCTCCCTCCTTCTCTCTTGCCCCCCCCATCCGCCCCCTCCCGGTCACGTGCTC